GGTGTGGGTGTGGGTGTGGGTATGGGTGGGTGTGGGTGTGAGTGCAGGTGTGGGTCTTTTTTGTAACTACAAGAACACCCACATCCACACCCACACCCACACCCACACCCTTGGTTAGCTTTACCACAACTTCTGAGTTCAGAAAGTTTTCGGGATTCCTTAGATTTCTTAGCTTTCCCACCGTTCTTTACTGTTACAAGTGCTATGGTATTGTTGGAATTCTTGGATTCTTTAACTTTCGCACCACTTCTATCTTCAGAAAGTACTAGAGAATCCTTGGGTTCCTTAACTTTTCCAACATTTCTGATTGTTGCAAGAGATAGGGAATGCTTCGAATCATTGGATTCCTTCTTTTCTCCAACACATAGACTGTTGAAAGTGTTCGGAAACCCTTGGAAACTTGGATTCCTTAGCTTTCCGACCATATTCGATGGTTCCAAGGATGTGAAATGCTAGGAATCATTGGATTACGGAGTTGTCTGGCCATTCGTGACTGTCCCAAGGGCTATGAAATCTTTGAATTCCTCGAGTTGCTTATGTCTCCGACCATTCTCGAGTCTCCCAAGTGATATGGAATCCTTGGATTCCTTGGAGTCTTTAGCTTCCCAGCATCTTTACTAGCCACAGATGGTGGAGAATAATTGTGATCGTTTCTTCCCTAACCTCTCAATCACCCTTGAGTGTCTCAAGTAGTATGAAATTGTTGAATTTCTTAGGTTTCCCAACCATTCTGAATATTCAAAGTGCTAAGGAATCGTTAGAAACGTTGTATCCATTAGCTTCGTTTGGATTCTGAAGTATCAGAAGTGCTATGGAACCATTAAATGGCTTCGATTCCTTAGCTTTCAGTTCATCGTGGACTACCACAAGCTGCACGGAATTCTTGGTATTCTTGGATTTCTTTTCGTCCCGACCTGTCTTGACTATCCAAAGTGTGGTGCAATCCTCGGATATTTTAACTTTCAGACCATACTTGACTGCCTTATGTGGCGCTGTATCATTGAATTTCTTCGCTTCATCACCATTCTTGAGTGTTCCAAGGACAATTGAATTCTTAGAATCGCTGGAAACCTTCGATTTCTTCTACTGCCCACCATTCTCAACCGTTGCAGATGCTATGGAATCCTCATAGTCGTTGGATTCTTTCGCTTTCAGACCATGGTCGACTTGCACAAGTAGCAGGAAATCCTTGGGTTCTTTAGTTTTATGACCATTTGTAAGTGTCGCAAGTGCAGTAGAATCCTTGGATTTCTTAGCTTTCCGGCCATTCTTAGCTGTCCTAAGAGCCATGGACTCATTGGATTGCTTGAATTTCTGGGAATGCTTCAATGGCGTAAGCTGCAAGAAATCCTTGTAATCCGTGGATTCCTTAGCTTCCCAACCATTATTAAGTATTCGCAGTGCAATGTAATCCTAGAATTGCGTGGAATTCTTTGATTTTGTATGTCTTCAACCATTCTTGACTGTCGTAAGTGCTGACAGAGATGGAATCGCTATCAGTATTGTTCGTCAAAAATTCAGATCGGTTCCATCTTTGAGTGCTGGATAGTCAGTGGAATCTTTGAAATTTCTTGATCTCATCGCTTAGATGGTATTTTTGACTTACGGGAATTCCATGGAAAGGTTTGAATTTTTCGATGCCTCAACTTTTCTGACATCGTGCTGAGTGAAATATCCAGCGGAACGCTTCGTGTTCTTGGACTTCATAGCTTGCATATAATGCTTGGTGTTCCCTTACGAATAGGGAATCTTGAACTTCTTGCATTTTTTACTGCTCCAATGATCTTGCACTGTCTCGAATGGGTTCTATGCCTTTGAGTTAGTGAATTTCATAGATTTCTATGGATGGTTAGTAATCTAAATGTATTGGAAGGCTTGGAATCGTTTGAGTGCTTACTTTCCTCATTATGCTCGAGATTCCTAAAGGTCGGATTGGTTTGAAATTATTAGATTTTTTCACTCGCTTTCTACTCTTGGTTTCCGAAAATATGTGGGACGACTGAGAATTATTTCATTTCTCTGCTATATGATCATGCGAGATGATCCAATATGCCTTGGAACTCCTGTAGTCCTTGGGCTCCTTCCATTGGTCTTTGGAGGTGATATTCATACATGCTTGAGAACTCTTGAAACTCTTAGATTTGTCAGTTTTGCGAGAAGCCTTACATAATTTAATAGTGTGGAGTACTTGTATTGCTTTCATTTCTTGCTTGTCTGATCGTCGATGCCCGTCATTAATGAGTTCTAATCCTCGAAGTACTCTGTTTTCTTGAATTCTTGTGGAGCCTTCACATAAGTGACTTGGCTGGAATAGTGGGATTTCTTCAAGTTGTTAGATCCTTGAGTATTTCTTTCATAATTGAATTGCCTGAATTGAATTGTGTTCTTGGATTAGCTCGTGTAATCATTATCGTTGGCAGCCTCTAGTTGGTTGGGTCGGTCGTTATTGATGGATTTTGTAATTTCATAGGAGAGTTGATGGTATGGTTGTTGATGTATAATATTTGTTTGAATGGGAATGTAGGCGAAGGTGTGTATGTTGGTGCGGTTTGCTATGCATCTCGAGTTCGGTGATTATTCGTTTCCCTTAGCGTTTTGATATGGGTGGATTTACGTGCTTGTTAACGTATCTAATGATATGAATGAGTAGTATTATTGAAGCCGGTCATGGTTTTTTCTACGGGATGAGTCGGGTCGAGTACCCGATGCTTGCAATTATTGATTTGACATGGAAAAGTCTATACGTTTTATTCGTGAATTAACCAATCAGCTCTTTCGAAAAGGAGTCTATTCTGACAGTTCTAGGAAGACATACATTGGGAAACTCATATTTCTTGGAGTTTCTAATACGCAGACTTTTAGTTTCGTCGATCGCGTTTCATGTGCTAACATCACGAGCAAATGGCGCTTCTTTTGCAAAAAGCTTCGAGTAGGAACTCACAGAAAGTAACTTTGTGCAACATCTAGCTGTGATTTCGCTGTTTTTATTCAATAATGATATGATATCTTTACAATTGTTCGCTTCGATCTATTCTTATTTGAAATAATTAGCTATTTAACGCAGCTGAAAAGTGTCTAAATTCGAAAAAGAATGCTCCTACAGAAAGAAAGATAAGATGAACTGAAACAATCGATTTTTATATTAGACATCCTATTTGAGATTTCTTAATATTTAAATGTTATGGCAAGTTACATGATGCTAGTAATCGGCAAGACCTTGGCAATAGAACTGAATCTTTTCTGATATTCTTTCTATGAAAGCATGAATCACATACTACTGGCTATTGGAATTCAATGAGAGTTAGTTAAAGCTAGTTCGAAAAAGTGAATTCAAAATCTCAAGGTCAAAAATGTTTGGGTATTACTAATTTATGCTAACACCACTAACACCCAACTTTGTAAAAACGCATATGGGTCATCTTCACTAACACCCACAACTTGGAGAGTTATGTGCACAAACACCCACTAACACCCACTTTGTCCGACTCCTAGAAAAAATAAACCGTCAGCAAAGACCAAAAAATGACCCTCTTCAACACTCACACCCAAAATCTCACTTATAGTCCGCACAAACACCCCAAGCTGTATTCACTAACACCCACAGAACTTTATAATCTACATGCTGACCCGAATAAGTGCCACCCCCGAATAACCTTTTCTTATAAACTTTTCTCTAGAAATATCGCCTAATATAAAGAAAATTGGATTTTACTAATTGCGTATTACTAATATATGCTTATAGCATAAACACCCAACTTTGTAAAAATGCATATGAATCATCTTCACTAACATCCACATCTTGGTGAGTTATGTTCGCAAACACCCGCAAACACCCACATTGTCCAACTTCCAGAAAAAATAAACCGTCAACAAAGACCAAAAAATGACTCCCATCAACACTACCACTCAGGATCACTCTTATTATCAACCCAAACACCCCAAGTTCTCTTGACAAACAGCCACAGAACTCTATAATCTACATTCGATACAAATATCTGCTATCCCCGATGATGTGGGTGTGGGTGTCTTCTTTTGTTCAAGATCCTCACCAACTCCACACTCACACCCACACCCTTAGGGATGGCAGATATTTGTGTCAGAATGTAGATTATAGAGTTCTGTGGGTGTTTGTCAAGAGAACTTGGGGTGTTTGGGTTGACAATAAGAGCGATCCTGGGTGGTAGTGTTGATGTGAGTCATTTTTTGGTCTTTGTTGACGGTTTATTTTTTCTGAAAGTCGGACAATGAGGGTGTTTGCGGGTATTTGCGAGTGTTTGCGAGCATAACTCACCAAGATGTGGATGTTAGTGAAGATGATTCATATGCGCTTTTACAAAGTTGGGTGTTTATGCTATAAGCATACATTAGTAATACCCATTAGTAAAATTCAATTTTCTTTATATTAGGCGATATTTCTAGAGAAAAGTTTATAAGAAAAAGTTATTTGGGGATGGCGCTTATTCGGGTCAGAATGTAGATTCTAGAGTTCTGTGGGTGTTAGTGAATACAACTTGGGGTGTTTGTGCGGACTATAAGTGAGATTTTGGGTGTGAGTGTTGAAGAGGGTCATTTTTTGGTCTTTGCTGACGGTTTATTTTTTCTAGGAGTCGGACAAAGTGGGTGTTAGTAGGTGTTTGTGCACATAATTCTCCAAGTTGTGGGTGTTAGTGAAGATGACTCATATGCGTTTTTACAAAGTTGGGTGTTAGTGGTGTTAGCATAAATTAGTAATACCCACAATTACTTATGGATTTACAGAATAAATTGCCACAATGTTGCAGTGAATTATTGATTCAAGCAATTGAAAATCGCCGACAAGCAATAGAAAAACGTCATGAGCTATATCTTGGACATAAATTGTATACTTTTTTCGACGAAGCTCCGACGACATCAAACGAATAAAGCAGTTTCGTGGTCGTCGGAGCAATATATCAATTTATACTACCATTACTGCTTCATTACCATTTATTGAAGTCGATGTAAATTTAACTCCACAACAAATGTCTATGTTTATCAATGGTCTCAAATATATTATACCATGTCAAAGTCAATTTTCTGGCAAATCAATTGAACAACTTGTTAGTGAACAATATCAAAGTATATCAACAACAGTAAAAAACTGTCTAAAAGATCATCGAATACCAGCTGCAAATAAACGAGCAGAAGGAACATTTCAAGCATTACGGTGTATCCTACATGAATTACAATCAAAAAAGCTATCCAGAAAATTAGAAAAACGTGCAAAACGTGAATACAAAATCGTACAAAGTATTCGACGTCTTTTACGTGACCGGTCAGATATTGTCATACGTCGTACAGATAAAAGTAAAGTATTCTATATTGGTAAAGCAACAGATTTTGCACGAAAATCTTAAGAATATATGTTAAAAACAGAAGCTTATCAAGAAATTACAAGTGGTCGTTGTCCACTATCAGATATGTTATATGCTGTACAAACATCACTCTCTAGTCTTGTAGCACAGAAAGCTCTCAGCTTCCAACAATATAGTAAAATATCTCAAAAATTAAACAAATTGGAACTTGGACATTATCATGGCCTACCGAAACCACATAAAGTAAAGATGGTTTAGATCAATATAGACATAATTTATATTTTTTTTCTTTCTATCTAGGTTGGTACACCATTACGACCTATTATTGCCTGTATACATGCACCAACAACATTGGTATCGAAATTTTTAAATGATCTATTAGCACCTATATATTTGAATGTTGCTCGTGAAATGACATTTATTAATGGCATTGATGTGATACGAAAACTGGAAAAATATATTTTGGATGCTCATTTTGAGGTAACAAAAAATTTATTATAATTGATATGACTGATCTTTATACAGTGATACCTCGAGAAGGTGCATTACATACATTGATGCGATTTTTAGAAAAGAATTCGCATCATGGAAAAATTGGTACATTATCCATTGATGCTATTATGAGAATGGCTCGTTTAATATTAGATACTAATTATTTTGCTTATAACAACAAATATTATCAACAAACTCGTGGTGGTGCTA